ATCACTTTGGAAAACAGTGTCCTGTTGTTTAGTAAAGTTGAAAATGTACATGACCAAAATGTTCACATCAACATTATTCATCACTACCCCCAAATGGAGCTAGGCCAAAGGAATGAACGCGAACAATAAGCTGGATAATTAAATTTTGTGTTTTCCATTGGGTTGTCTATCTTTCTTCTCACTGATTTATAGAAACTTTAAAAAAATAAACTATATATTAATATAAACACATGTATGTGTGTACATGTGTATGTACACTAACTTTTTACTGATTAAATATGCTACAAAGATCACACACACAAACATTCCTTGTGAAATAATCACAGACTGGCAACTGAGAAATTCCATGATTTGAACATGAGATAGTGTTCTTGAACTTGGATCTAGATAGCTGAGTGGTGGAATCTTACGGATTTTCTTTTGTAAAATTGTGATTTCTCTGTAGGGATGAAATTACTCTCAGAGGCCCAGGCTCTTCATCTAATTTGATGGGAACAAGTTCCAATTGCCTATAGAAGTAATGGACTGAATCATTAGTGGCTGTCTTCTAACCTAAATGGTCTATATTTCTAAAAGCTCCTACCAACATGCCATATACAGTCCCATCTCCACACCTGAGTTCAGGTGGTGGTTTAGGAACTTCCCATTCAGCTCTGTTTATAATATCACTAGCAATAGAAAGAGGGTAGTACTTTTTTTTTGAGTTAGAGTCTTCCACTCTGTCATCCAGGCTGGAGTGCAGCGGCACGCTCATGGCCACTGCAATCTCGACCTGCTGGGCTCAGGCGATCCTTCTGCCTCAGCCTTCCGAGTAGCCCAGCTTGTTTTTTGATTTATTGTAGAGACAAGATCTCGCCAGGTTGTCCAGGCTGGTCTTGAAACCCTGAGCTCAGGCAATTCACTTACCTTGGTCTCCCAGAGTGCTGGGATTACAGGCTTGAGCCACCGCGCCCAACTGAGGGTAGAAATTTTGAAAAATGTTTTCTCACCCATTATCTCATTTGACCCTCACAACACCCTAAGGGTCTGGCTACTACCTTCACTTCGATAAGGAAATTGGCTCAGAGGTTAAGTGGTTTGTGTCAGTCTCACAGCTGGTCAGTGGCAGAGTTTGGACCAGAAGCTAAGATAGGAATCTTGGAATTCTGGGTTCTTTCTACATGATCCCTTCAGAGCTTGGCTCAAGTCCCACATCCTCCAGAGAGGCTTCCTTACCAACAGATTCTTGTCCCTGAAGAGTTCTAATTATTATTTTCTATACTATTCATTTGACAACATCTACAAATGCTTTGAACTATCATATATCTAGAGCTATGTTCTTTGTTCCATTATACTATTTGTAAGCAGCTTCTGAAGCAGGAACAATGTTGGATATCATCTGGTTTCATTGACTTCACACCAAGCCTTTTCTGCATCCTGTGCCCAGGCTGGGACTTGACTATCTTTGTGGGTTACAGCATTTGAAGAGCCAACTCCAGCTAACCAAGACTAAACACAAATATGCCCTGGTGCATTCATGTTCCAAGTGGGACAGGAAAAATTCCTGCTGACAAAGTTATTGAACACAGAGTCATTAATCTCAAAGAGCATTACTCAGTCAACATGTATGCAGGAGGCTTTGCTTTGTTGAAGTAGAAATTTCATCTCAAAGTTTTACATTTGTTTATATTCTCCAGAGTGCCTTCTACCCAGTAGGGACTCATTATGAAAGACTGTGTAAGCAACTTATATATCAAATAAGATATCCTTTGAAATTTACTAAAATATCTGGCTACCTTTCTTTCCTCAGAGCATTGGGAAAGGAAGGCAAAGACTCAGATATAGATCTTAATTCCTCTTTTTAACAGTAGGTAGGTAAATTAACTTCTCAAAGCTTTGGTTTTCTCAACAGCAAAACTGAAGCACAAAAATCTAAATCATAGTGAGCAAGGTCGAAAGGTCTCGTGTTTTGACACAACGAGAACCAATATAAAATATTTTGTATCTTTGATATTTGGCTCCTCCTGAGTTTAAGTCAAACGGTAACAATCTGGGCTTTCCAATTATAAAATGAAATAATTAGTTTAGATTATTTTGAAAGGTTATTTGAACAGTCAACTAAAAAGTCTATGACTCTGTAATTCCAGCTTCAATTTTCAAGGAATCCTAAGATTTTAATTTTTTATTTCCTTATACATAAACCTAAACAGATCATCTAGTGCACAAAGGGAACCTCTTATTTAGAATAATTCAATCATAACACATTTAAAAAAAATAATCTGTCCTGATATAAATAACTGCCCTGGCTTATGTGTTTTCACATTCTCTTTTGGGCATTTCAGGTAGGCAGTCTCCGTGTGTTTTCACTGCATTTCCTTCAGCCACAGGCCCTACCCACAGGGCCTCTCATTCATCAGACCATTTCTGCAGGGACAGGGTGGGTGTTGTTATTAATCCCATGAGCATTTGGTCTCCATTTGACAGATTTCCCATGCGAAAGTGAAGGGCTCCTCACAGAGTGTGTATTCTGTGATTGATGTCTTGCTGGCAACAAGACGTCTCCTTCTGAGTAGCTTCTGTTAATGAATACCCATGTAATGTCAACTTGAAATGTGTGTACTGTAGAACAGGGAGCTTGGAGGGCAGAAGTTAAGTAAGAAGTAGAAATAAAAGCTTAGACTCAGAGGGGGTGGAGAGAGTGAGGGAACTCAGGAGTCAAAGTAGGAAGGACAAGAGAAGAGCTAGTACAGTACAGGAATCAATCTCATCCACATCAAATGCGCAGTCATTATGTTGGGCATGTTGACATCCTTGATTTCATGCTGTCCTCACGGTTCATCCTGAACATTGCGTTCAGAGAGATAAAATGACTTTCTTGAAGTCACACAACTGATAAGAAGAGTAAGGATTTTCATTCAGCTTTTGATACTAGAGCTAGTACTCTTTTGTACCTATTTGCAGTCCAGTACAGCGTTTGTTTGAGGTGATTCCAACAAAAAATATAAATATGCAGGCATTAGGCCTTTAACTCTTACAGGACTCACACTTTTCTCCTAGACTGGGATATAGAGGCATAAAGAAACATGCCCAGAAATATACCTATATACGGTAATAGTGATAATATATAGACTTTAGACTTTAATTTTCCATGGAAATACCATGACTTAATGGTGAGGGAAGTTCTTGCTTGGCCTGAGCATAGAAAGAAGATGAGAAAAAAAGAAGCAAAAAGAGAAGAGGGAAAGGAGGAAGTAAAGAAGAAGGAACAGAAGGAAGGGAAAAACAAGTCATTTATATCAATAGGGAAAATGCTGAACTGAGACTAGAGTGCACGCAGTGCTTGGATAGCTGTTTTCCAGACGTTCCTCCAAATCTGGGCTCCCTAAATTTAGCTTCATAACTTCTATAAGTCACTGAGAAAGACTCCCATGTGCAGTGGATCCAGTCTTTAAAGGCTGTTCAAGCCATGAGTGCTGCTGCTAGATAGGCCTCATTGTTAAAGAAGAGGCCAGACAAGAGGGTGGACGGGAAAGGTATAGGCTGTCCAGACCTTAGCAACCATGTGAGGTCAGAGAAAGCTGTTCCTACAGATTGTCCTCATATTCCAGAACTCTGTCTTTGTGCCTTCCTCCACAAGACATGTGATTTACCCTCCTCAGGCAGACTGCCCTGTGCATAATGGAGTTCAATAATCTCAAAACTAAACTGACCTTTTAGGCCACCCAAGTTAGCCAACCAAGATTGCTGGTTTTCAAATTTAAAGAAAAAATGGATTTGTTTGTTTGTTTTTTGGAGATTTTGAAATTATGAACTATGTGTTGACTCAGATTAATTGTAGCTACCAAGCCGTGGATATGTGAGAAGTGAAATTAACCTCCACTCTCTTCCCACACACACACACATACATTCACTCACACTATCTAGTACAGGAAACAGGACCTGAAAGTGGACTAGCACTGTGCGTCACAGTGTCATTCCTAGCTTAAGAAGTACATTTTCAGGCAGGCTTTTTTATTCTTGTAGCATCTAATTACAGAACATCAAAATGCAACAGAGACCCAGAGGTGAGCTGCATTATTGAAAAAATAAAAGCAAAAAGTGCCCAGGAAATTATTAAGTGTATTCTTAATAGATTCACCAAATTTAAGAGTGCTGGAAAATGCAAGTATTTAATTCAGAAGACAAATATCTCCTTTCATTGCCCTTGGGAAAAATGACTTTTTTCCCCCTCCAAACCTTCTGCAATTTTTCATAATTACATTAGGCAGAGGACAAAAGCATAGAAGAGAGTGCAGATACACTAAAAAAAAAAAAAAGTCTGTTTAATCAGGTTAAAGTTTAAGCAATTTATCTACTGAAACTGTTTCATACTTCTGTATACAAAATGGCTTATTATTTCCTATCAAATTGCCTCAGAACTTTTAGCAAAAAAAAAAAAAAAAAATGGAGATTGCAAGGATGCATGGCCAGTGAGTGAGGATGGAAATGTGGGTAGGGGGTTGGAAGGATTTAATTCTGGGCCATATGATTCTTGATCCAGTGCCCCGACCTTTAAATTACAATCTTCTCTGAAACATCATCAAAAATATTGAAACATCCTTTGTCAGCATTAGAAACTCCAACTTTCAAACCCACAGAGGAAAAAAAAAGATATAGTACTATGAACTTAGCTAATGAATATTATAAAGATGGGATTCTTACACCAAATATTACTGTGAATGGAAATTTCTTACACTTAAATTTGGGGGAGGAAAATGTAGTACATTCAGTTGTGTTTCGTTCTTCTGCTTTAAATCACATCAAGAAACAAATGCTAGAAAAGTTTAAATGTTCCATGTTATCGATCACTAAATACAAGATTATCTTCCTGAATAAGACATGTCAAAGTCCTGTTTGTCACATCTTCTCCCAGTAACAGAAGTAACCACTGTTCTTGGGGAAGAAAGAATTGAAACCAGCCAAACCTCCAAAGTCATGGCGACATTTAGGTCTGAGAGAAGGCTTATCCCTTAGTTGCCCGCCTACCTCCTACTCACGTTTAAAGATTGGGGGTAAAGCTTGTTAAGTATTTTCCAAAAAGAAATTTTCACTTCTTTGTTCCTAAGGCTGTAGATCAAGGGATTGAGCATGGGAATCACCACAGTATAAAACACAGATGCTATTTTGTCTGTGTCCATGGACTGGCTGGAGCTGGGCTGTAAGTACATGAAGATGATTGTACCGTAGAAGATGGACACTGCGGTGAGGTGGGAGGCACAGGTGGAGAAGGCTTTCTTCTGCCCTTCAGCAGAACGCATTCTTTGAATGGCGATGAATATGAAGATGTAAGAGATGAGGATGACCAGGAGGGTGAAAAAGACATTGAAGCCCACGACAAAGAAGACCACTAACTTGCTGATGCGTGTGTTGGAGCATGAGATTGCCAGGAGTGGGGGAATGTCACAGAAAAAATGATTAATCTCATTGGAACCACAGAAGGAGAGTCTGAAGGTGTCTGCTGCATGGATAGTTGCATTGAGGAAGCCACAGACATAGGAACTGATAGTTAGGAGGGCGCACACACCTGTTGTCATAGTGGTGGTATAAAGAAGAGGCCTACATACCGCTGCATGGCGGTCATAGGCCATGGAGGCCAGGAGGTAGCACTCAACAGTGGCAAATCCCACAAAGAAGAAGAACTGAGCTGCACATTCATTGTAGGAAATGGCCTTGTTTCCTGACTGCAATGCAGCCACCATTTTAGGAGCTACAGCTGATGAGTAACCCAGATCTACCAAGGAGAGGTTGCTGAGGAAGAAGTACATTGGAGTGTGGAGATGGGAGTTCAAGTGGATGATCACCATCATCCCCCCATTTCCAACCAGGGTGACGAGGTAGATGAATACAAATACCAGAAGGAGGGGAGCCTGAAGTTTGGGGTCATCTGTTAATCCCAAGAGGATAAACTCTGTCACTTCTGTGCTATTCTCCATTGCAGTCAACTTGAATTTAGCCTGGTGATTAAAGAAGAGGAGTTGACAGAAACTCAGATGAAAAATATCAGAGAGGATTATGAAATGATATAAAATAGAAAACTAGCAAATATTGAGTATGTGCTGTGTGTGGGTAAGACTCATATGCTAGACCCTTCCATTACATTATAGCATTTAATCCTATGAGGTAGTGCTATTTTGCCCCTTCTACAGATGAGAAAGGTAAGGCTCAGGGAACTGAGTGTTGAGCAAGATAATCTAATTAGTAGGGGTCAGGTCAAAGTTTACCTTCTTATATTTCTGAATCCAAAGTCCGTACACTCCGAGCTTGAGTCCTTCTATATGCTTACATCATGTAAGCACAAATTATGATGTGGACGTGTCTGGCAGCATAGTTTTTAATATTTTATTTATTCCATTTTTAAAAATCAAAAAGAATGAATCGACGATTCCTTGTCCTCCCTATCCCACTCCCAATAATATGGTCTTACGGGAGATGCACATATAATTAAGTAGTATTAGTTATAGAAATCATAATAGCTTACTAAATGTCAGGCACTGTTCCAAGGGCTTCACTTGTATTAAATTCATTTAATGCTCATACCAACATTTAGGAATTGATTCTACTATTTTTATTATTTTACACAAGAAGAAACTATATATATGATAATACTCCAACTCCCTTGTTTTCATTGTTTACCTTTATAAACAATACTCTATAATTTACTACATGCAAATAGAGTATTTTTCTTTCTTGCTTTAGGCTATTTCCATTTGGAAGTATATTTTATATTTTGTCTCCTTTTTCTGACTGTCATTTGCTCATAAAATTGAACATCTTTTACATGGGGACTGGAGGGATATTATTATAAAATAATAATAATAATAATAAAATAACTAATGGTCAAAGTCACATAAATGGTAAGAGTTGGTGGTGAAATTAAAACTCTGGTCTGTTAGATACTAAATCCAGAGATCTTAACCACAACTTTTGATATGTATATAAATTTATCCCTAAACAGTAGTCCAACTGAAACGGGGTATGGCATATACAAATATAAGCATATATTTATAGAGTTTATGTATTTTTACTTCTATATTTATATATAGTATAGATATAACATATCTTGAGTCATGCTTGATCATAACACAGCTAGCTGGACAACCACTCTGCTCCTCAACTAGCTCTAAGCCCCTTGGGACAGTGACTATTGTCATCCCCCTTGGCCCACCCAGCCTACCATGGCTCCTAGTACATATATGTAAATGTCCGGTGAATTGAACAGAGCATCAAAGCAAAGCGTGTAAATACTTTCCATGCTCTTTAATTCCACAACAAACAGTTTATTGTTCTTTGTCTAACTGGGCCTGTGCTTCCTGCCAAAATATTAGCTTAGACTTTCACCTGAAAAATATTCCAAAGTAGCAGTGAATTTGGAGATGGTAAGGCCTGAAGACAGGCTTGTGTCCTCATTTCAGAGGCTGAGGTGTGTTCACAAGCTTGCCCTGCCCCTGGCAGCAGAGTGGGTAGGAGCAGGCTCAGAAGAAGGAAGAGAGAAAATGTGGACAGAGAAGAGAGAGAGGGAGAAACAGGAGCTAGAAGGAGAAACCAGCTCCAGCCCTGCTTGCTCTTAGCTTACCTTGGATAGCAACTGCAGCAATCAGATTGGTGATACACAAAAAAGGGGACTGCCCAGCAGGTCCCATTTGAATGACTATTACATACACAATGTGACTGGTTTCACAAGAACCGACTCAGTCAGCTTGGGAAACACTATTGGACAGAGACCATGATCATACACCACTCCCTGACTTCCAATTTGTCACCTTTACAGACAATGCTCCAAAAAGTTCCCTTGTAGATGTCTTCTCATGTCTCTTTTTTTCCTTAGGATGAATTTCTAGGATTATATACTTTTCAGCCTCTTTACACTTGTTTGTAGATTTCCATCCAGTAATGTACCAGTTGACTCTCTGACCAGCAGTACTTCCCATTACATTAACCTAGTCTTTTAAACATTTTTTTTCTGTGACCTTTGTCTTGTGTGTGTACTCTTTAATTCACAGCAGACACAATAGCCTGTAATCGCTATGACAGGCAGTGTTCTGATCATACATATTAGGAAACTGACATATGTGGTGCCCCTCAACTTCACACAATTACTTAATTGTAAAATCCACACAATTTTTCAGAGCCAGATTTTTTTAACCTCAGCAGTTAGCGCTATGTGCTGGACAGTTCTTTGATGTGGGGGCAGGGGAAGAGCTGTCCTGTGCATTGTAAGATATTTAGCAGTCTCTCTGGTCTCTACCCATTAGATTGTAGTAACACCACCCACCCACTCCCATTTGTGAAACCAAAAATGTCTTTGAACATTGCAAAATGTCCCCTGAGAAATAACATTCCACCTGGTTGACAACTGTTGCTCTAGAGTTGTAAAAAAAACAGAGGTTCTGGGGTTTTTGCATTCACTTCTTCATTTAATAACTACATGATCAGATATATAGATAGACAGATAGAAGGAAGATGATGATAGATTCGATTAGATAGGTGATAGATAGACCTCAAAGACATAAAGAAACTGAGGCTAGGTGAGATAAAGTGACTGATTCATGATCTAGAGCTCCAGCCAAATACTACTGACCATCGGTGGGAGTTCAAGAAAGGGTTACTGCTTGCTAAGCACTGTGGCCCTTTGACTAAAGTGATATTATCCCTCCCATATTATAAACCAACCTCTTTTCCTCCACACAAGGTAGGAAGGAAAGCCTAGAAAAACTCCAAAATGAAACACATCTGACTTAGGGTAGATTCTGAATTCTTTTCCAAACACCTTCTCAAACACTTGTTTAATCAACTTCCTTAGTACTGACCACACAAGTCTATTCACCTAAGCTGTAGGCCAAATTTCTAAAAGCCATTACATATTCCCCATATTGAACTGCCCCAGACTGCCATCTCCATCATCAGCCATTAATATTCGCGGTACTTTCTGTGTTCTCTTGATGGGCAACCTTTTCCATTATGCACTGCAGTCACTGTTAATAAATGTGTCTAGATCCAGAGTGGCAAGGAGAAATCTGGAGTCAGTGCAGAGAGAAATGGCCATGTTTACCCAGCACCAACACTAAAGGGTTGCAAGGCCTGAATCCAAATACTGCTGCTACTACTATGTGTCTTCCCCAACCAAGTCTTGCAACGACCAAGATTTTCTGCAAGGGTCTCAAATAAATACCAGTAGTCATGAAAGGGGGAAAAAAAAAATATATATATATATATTTTTTTTTGAGTTGAAGTCTCACTCTGTCACCCAGGCTGGGGTGCAATGGCACACTCATGGCCACCCCAGAGTCGACCTGCTGGGCTCTGGCAGTCCTTCTGCCTCAGTCTTCCAAGTAGTTGGAACTACAGGCATACACTACCATGCTCAACTAATTTTTTTTTTTTTGTAGAGACGAGGTCTCACCAATTTGCCCAGTCTGGTCTCAAACCCACAGGCTCAGGCAATCCACTTGCCTCGACCTCCCAAAGTGCTGGTATTACAGGTTGAGCCACCAAACCCAACCAAGAAAAATATTTTTAAAATATCAAAAGAAAGTGTGTTGAAAATGAAAAAAAAAAAACATTAGATTTTAAGGAGTTATTATTGTTATAAAAAGAGAAGGAGGAGTCTAAGCCATCGAGATAGTCTGGAAATAAAAGGTTCCATTAAAATTGCTTCTAAAGAGGTTTGTAGAATCACCCCCCAGTCATCATGACCTCATTTGGGGAGTTCTAAAAAGACTCTTAATGGAATAACATTGTACTAAATTCCATGAAGGAAGAGACAAGGTCTATTTTGTTTACTGCTGTTTTGTGCATTATTACTTACCACCTAGATTAGTGCCAGGCACATAGACTCAAATATTTGTTAAGTGAATGAACAAATTAGAATCTTAACCATTGAGTTGAAATAATAACTTTAACACTTACTTGCTTTGGGACTGTGGGCAGGTCAATATCCCTTTAGCAAAAGAGGATGAAGTAAGATAAAAAATGGGAAAATTCAGTCAGTGTGTGTCCTATGGTGGGCACTCAAAACAAAGTAGGTAGTGTATCTCTTTATTAAACTGTAGGCCAATCATATGAACTTGTTTCCCAGAGTTTATTAACACCAATTGGCAGCAGTGTTCCAAATAGCAATGACTATGCCAATGGATGTCTAAGTAAAGGTGACCCAGAATTATCTATGGGAAACTTCTGACTCTATTCTTGTGAGATGTGGCAGAGGAACTTGGGGAAAAATGGAATTAAGAGTCATTTTTATACCTACTTCTGAGCCCCTTTCTTTTCGACAAACCCATTATTTCTACTCACAGTGTGAAGAACACTGCTTTAAAAAAAAATCAGGGAAAACATACCTACGTCCTTGAGAATTATGAGATCTCAATTCAGAACTGCTTCAGCTACCAGACTTTCTGAAGTCTGAAAAAAGAAAAGCTGTTGGTCTCTGAGGGCCTTAGATTTCAAATAGTGAAAGATTTCCTGAGGCTGTGCGATAAAAGTATAAATGTGCTTCAGCTGCTGCCACAGTTTGCTTGAGATCCTAAGTGAGTCATATGGCACTGCGTGAGAGGTCTTAGATTACCTAGAAGCTGGTGCTTATTGTAGATTTTGGAGCCTCTAAAGGGGGGTTCCCCAAGGTATCCATCCCAATCCAGGGCTCAGCTACATGCAAACAAGCAACCAAAACATCACTTTCCTGAGGGAACTGAATGGTTATTATTATATGGAGGAGTCTTACAGATCCCTCAAGGACCAAAGGGGAGCCCCAGGTCTTCCAATTACATGCTAAGATTATTGATGAGCAAATTCCACCACAAATGCCTTCAAAGGAGCTTGAGGGTTCAGCCACTCTACATTCAACCCACGGAAGATTTCCTGCTAGTATTGGGAATTGGCTCTTTCTGTAGGACTAAATAGGGAGAAATTTTTAAAATGCCAGCTTAGATGATAACTTTAT